CATGCGATTATGCTTAGTTGCTCCCACAAGCATCGCACACTTTCTGCTTTTTTGTCATCTTTTTGCAGATATTTGCTCAGCTCCAGCCGCAGAGTTTTCGCGCACCACAAGTTCGCGAAGGATCTCGCTGCGAATTGATTTCTGCCCGTCCTTAAATAACTTGATAGTGATTTACCCGTTTCAGCGATATATAGTGGTAGTGGGGATGTGATGAATTACTGGGAGCGAATACTAAATGTTCTATCTTATGCAAAAATGTTCATGGTAAATAATTTCATCATCAGGACAACAAGCCGGGCAGAAGTGAAGAGATTCACGCCGCACCACTTCGACCATCTGGTAAGTCAATGGGCAATTTAGAAACTGTGGACCACTCGGATGAAATAAAGGTTCCTGCAAAATGAGGATTAAAACTAGCCAAAATTCGATGGTTATTGTATAGCCGCTGAATTCTCTCAGTGCAATAAAAATTTTAAGGTTAAGTTTTCTTTTAAATTACTTGCGAACAAAGCTGACATCTGGAAAATGCAGGAAGCGGTCCGTAAGAGTACGTTTGCACTTACCGATTCCGAAGAGCTGCTGGAATTCCCACGCTTGGTTAGCCATAAGGTTGTTTTCATTGGAGGCATTGCTGTGAATACACCGAAACCACTGAAGAAGGTAAAAAAATTCATTATGCGCTTTCGCACATACGTAAATGCAATTAATAGCAGAGCGCACCAGAATAACCGGTGCGACCATGCGTTTTGTGCAATTCCATCCACCGAGAACGATTGCCTTTTAATGAGATTCACTGCTTTGCACTTTGATCTGTGCAAAAATAAATGAAATGTTGAAAAATAGTTAAAATTTCACACACCGGTGCGTGTAAGCTGAACTTGAAACTTCGAAGGGTGAATATCCTTCCAAAACTTCAGCCTCCTAATTTTCTTGCTTTCGAATGATCTTTGAGGCAAAACTTTCACGTAGATGAGACCTCGGCACACCTAGCAACCGAGTTTGAGTAGCTTCTGCTTAGACGAAGAACATTCTCCTTAAATATTCAGCTTCCTTGCCCTTATGATCCCCAAGAAAATGTTTTTTTTTGCCAAAACTTCCACGCGGACGTTAAAAACTTGCGGAGTTGTACGTGGGCAAGGGATACCATGCTAAAATTTCAGTTCCCTAGTTTTTGCAGTTTACGAGATAATTTCCCCGCCAAAACTTTCAGGGGCAGTACTTGGCACCCAAGGATGTGTGAAGGCTGAATCCAAATTTGCGGAAGTTGTAAGTTGGTAGGGGCCCTTAAATTTCAGATTCCCAATTTTCGTGGTTCCCCAGACAATAATTGCTGCGCCGAAAATTTTACGGGGTGCAAGTGACACCTAGGCACGCGGGAGGGCAGAATTTAAATCGAGGGCTTGTATTTGGACAGGGCACTACCGCAAAATTTCAGCTTCTTGACTTTTATGGTTTCCGAAATAATAATTTTCTTGTCGAAATTCTCACGGGGCTGTAGGTGATACCCGAGAGCGAGGGAACGCTGAATCTGAATTTGCGAGGTGGGGTCATCATTGTAAATTTTCAGCTTTCTGGATTTCGTGGTTCCTGAGATAATAATTTACCCGTCAAAACATTTATGGGGTCGTGCACGTTGCCCGCGGGCGGGGAAAAGCTGAATTTAAATTTAAATTTAATGAATTACACATGGGCGAGGAACACACCTCCAAATTTTCAGCCCCCTAGTTTTTGTTGCTCTCGAGTTGAAAGTTGTGGACAAGTTGCTGTGGACACACACACACACACATCGACAATCCCATGACAATATGCGTTTTGTGCAGCTGTTGCACAGCACAAAACGCAAACTGTGACGACTTCGGTGTGTGTGTGTGTGTGTCTATCCGGGTATTTCAACTCGGCAACCAAGCTCCGGCACCGAAATTTTACCAGTGGATTCCCCGGCCAAGTGCCACCCGAAAGGACAGTGATGCCGACCTTCACGCACTCCTGGGCACCACGTAAGGCAACATGAAAGTTTTTGGGGGAAATTGCTAGCTCAGGAACCAGAAAGGCTGGGAGGCTGAAATTTTGAGACGATGTTCCTAGACCACGCGCAACTTAAAGGTTTTAAATTTAAATTTAACCGTGTGTGTGAGTGGTTCCCACATATGACCTCGCCAAAGTTTTTGGCGAAAAAATTGCTAACTCGGGAATCAGGAAGGCTGGAAGCTGAGATTTTAGCAAAATGTTTCTTTTCCAAGTATCACGTGGTAGTTGCACAGTTAACTTCCTAAACATAGAGAACCAGTAGGTCGCTAATTCTAGATTTTGGTATTCCAAGCGATCTTATTGCAGCATGAAACAATGCAAAAACGCATGATCGCACGGCTCGCCTGTTGCGCGTCGCCAATGATTTTATGCAATTTTGCAACACTGACGAAATGCAGCGCATATTGTCGAGTGTTTTTCTATATATATGTACGTATGTCGAGTGTTTTTCTATATATATATGAGACACCTTCCCGAAGGCAAGGTGCCTCATCGTGGCCGGGAAGTGGCAACGCTTAGAGATGAGGTGGTGGTGCTCAACACACACCAATGAACTCCAAACGGCTAAATCCTTGCCAAAGTGCCCCTGTTGTGGTGAGCCATTGAGCCGACGAGCCC